GTTGAAGTAATCATTTGTATGAGGCAGAAAGAAGTCAAGATTGCTGTTGTGTACTCTAAGATAACAAAGACAAAGTAGATTAACAAAAGAATCTATAACAAGTTTGAGGTAGAGACAGCAATACTTAGAACATTTTATTATTTGAAAAGTTGATAAAAGGAAGAGCATAAAATAGATGAAGTAGAAAAGACAAGCATAAACCTAACTATATCATAATTACTTTACATTTAAATGGACTATATAATACAGTTAAAAAACCAAGTTTGTCAGACCAGAGACAAAAAGAAAACCCAGCTTCCAAGAGAGACATTTTAATAGGGAGACATAATTGAAACAATAGAAAAGATAGACTACGAAACTCTAACAAGAAAGAAATCAAGTATATCTATGTCATTACCGAGTAAGACTGTAAAGCAAAAGGTATTACTAGAAATAAAAAGGTATATATCATAATGGATTAATCCGACAAAGAAATATCAAATCACAAATTTGTATTCAGTAACAAATTGAAAATATATAAAGCAAAAATGAAACAACTCTAAGAAAAAAGAAATCCACAGTTATAATGGAAGACTGTAACATCCCTTTTACTCTTGTTTATGGAAGAAAATAAAAGACAGAATGTAGAGGATCTAAATAACACAATTAACAAATTTGACATGGTTGTTATATATCAAATTCTGTATCTATTATGGTAGAATTTACTTTTTTAAGTATATATGAAACAAATACAAAATTGGTCTCAGAGTGAGCAATAAAGCTTCAACAAAATTTCAAAGCATTGAGGTCATTCCAAGAATGTTCTTTCACCAAGATGAAATTAAGTTATAAATCAATAATAAAAGGACAACCCAATTAAAAAATGAGCATCTGAAATGAACAGACATTTCTCAGACAAAAATAAAAGCAGCAAATAAACATATGAAAAAATGTTCAACATCCCTGGTCATTTGAGAGATGCAGATGAAAACAACACTGAGATTCCACCTCACCCCAGAAAGAATGGCTGCTATCAACAAATCAACCAATAACAAATGCTGGCGGGGGTGTGGGGAGAAAGGAACCCTGCTCCATTGTTGGTGGGAGTGCAGACTGGTGCATCCACTGTGGAAATCAGTATGGAGATACCTCAAAGAACTAGGGCTAGAGGTCCCATTTGACCCAGCTGTTCCCCTGCTGGGAATCTTCCCCAAAGAATTAAAAGAATCATACCACAGCAATACATGTGCACCCATGTTCATAGCAGCACAGTTTGTAATAGCTAAAACTTGGAAACAGCCCAAGTGCCCATCAACTGGAGACTGGATAAAGAAGATGTGGTTCTTTATAAAATGGAGTACTACTCAGCCATAAAGAAAAGGAACTAGAGACATTTATAGCTAAATAGATGCATATTGAGGCCATCCTCTTAAGTGAAATAAATGGGACACACGTGTAAATACTGAATAGTTTCTCTAGTGTGAGAAACTGAAAGTGTAAGGATTAAAATGATTAAAATGAATAATTGATCATTTGAAATAGGAAGAAAAGGTCCAAAGGGGTAGGGGAAGTGGGAGGGGAAGAGGAAAGGAAAGAAGGGAAAGGAAAAATTACGAGAAAAGGAAAAAATGGAAACAAAGTCTATGTAAATAGGGAAGGGTGGAGGCGGTGAAGGGAGGACAGGGAATAGGGAAAAAATAAGAACCAAGATTCATCATGTACAGGTACAGACACCCAGTGATAAATGTAAACGTACTGTATACCTAAAATGTACCAGTAAAAGGATTCAAGCAAAAAAATAATAATAATAAAAGCACAATTTTGCTGTGTGTTGTGGCACATGTTTGTAATCACAGCACTCAAGAGGCTCAAACAGGAGAATTGCAAGTTCGAGCCTAGCCTTGACTACATGGTGAGCCTCTGTATCAAACCCCTCCCCCTAAAAAGGGATAATTTCACTGGATGGAAAAATTTTAAATATATTCCTAAATAATCTACAAATTAAAGGAGAATTCCAAACAAATATTAAAATATTCATATTTGATTTTTAAAAGATATAATATGAATCCAGGAATTATGTGCATATCTGTAATCCCAGTACAGAGGCAGGAGGATGAGGAGTTTGACACCAGCTTGGGTTACATAGCAAGGTCCAGGTAGACCTGGACTACATAATGAGACCTCATCTCAAAAAATAAATAAGTAAATACATAATACGGACAACTCATGAGATGCAGCTATCATACAGCATACAGGGAAATTTATGACCTTTAAAATGTATATATCAGAAAAATGGAAAAGCTAAAAATCAGTGATTTATTCTTCTATATTAAGACAAAATAAGAGAAAGTTAATGTAGTGAAAATAAAAGTATATAGTGAAGGTTATAAATCAGTGAAATAGAAAACATATAGAGTAGGGAAAATCAACAAAAAGGTTGCTCTGAAAATATTATTTAAATTGAGAAACTCCTAACAAGTACCAATTAACAAAAATGAAAAATACAGATTTTCAATACTAGAAAGAGATGTCAATACAGATCCTACAGACAGAAAAAAGATGAGAGAATATTGCCTTTATACCAAAATTCAGATGAAATAGACAAATTCCTTGAAAATACAATTTCCAAAGACTACTGAAGAAAAAGAAAATCTGACTATGCAATATCCAATTTAAACAATTAGATCTAGTATTTAAGAACTTCTCCCAAAGAAAACTCTAAGCCCTGATGACTTCAAGTAATTCTTCTAAATAGTTTTTATTTTACTTTGTTGGTTTTTTGAAATGGTCTGACTATAGAGTTCAGGCTGGCCTGGATTTCATTATATAGCCCAGGTTGGCCTTGAACTCACAGCCATTCTCCAGCCTCAGCCTAGGAGTATATGTATATGCCACCACACCCAGCAAAATTTAACCCATTTTTTATGCCTCCTGCTGCCCATTCTTACTAATGGAAGGAACTGTAGTAGGACCTATGATATGAAGTAGTAAATTAATGTATATTTTTTGATTGGGGAGTTATTTCAACCAAAATCTATTTTTATAGGAATAATATTTAAGTGTTGTCTGAGTTACTTTTTTCTTTGCTGAGATAAAATATCCTATTCGAGCCAGGGATTTAGCTCAGTGGTTCCACCGCCTGCTTCACAAGTGCAAGGTCCCGAGTTTGATCCCAGGTACCAAAATAAATACCCAATACTCAAAGTTAAAGGGGAAAGGGTTTATTTGCCTCACAGTTTGTAGAGGTTTCAGTCCATAATCAGCTGACTTCAAGAGTGGCACATGGCAGAGGGGCATTGCAGAGGAGAAACAGTTCACAGTGCCCATAGGGTAGCAAAAACAACAAGGGACCTTAACAATGTCTTTCTGCCCCTTTTATCTTATTCAGACTACCGGGATTAGGGCCGTACCAAACCAACCACATTCCCTTAATCCCAGCATCATTCACTCTAGATTCAGCCACCCCCAAAATATCCCTACCTCATCCGAATGAGGCTTTGGAAGGACATCCAAACACAAGCCATAACAAGGGTGTGTACTTCTTAAATAGCTATGGGCTGAATGATGAGAAGGAAGGCCAAGTCTAGTCAATTGGCAGAACTAACTCATTTAGGACTTGGAATATTAAAAATGATTCATCCATATGTTTGAATATGACAGAACTGTAAATATTTTAATTTTATAGCCCAGGCTAGCCTTGAACTCCTGGCAATCCTCCTGCCTCAGCCTCCCAAATGCTGGGATTACAGGTGTGCAGCACCACACCCAGCAATTCTTCCAAATACTTAAAGAATGACACCAATCTTATCCAAACTCTTCCAGAGACTAGAAAAATAGAATATCCTCCCCAACTCTTTTTATGGGGCCAACATCATCTTGACAGAAAAGTTAGACTACTAGGATATTACAAGAAGGAAAAATTACAGACCCATCTCAATCGTTGTGGTATAATTAAAAAAAAAAAATTGGTCTTTGTCCTTGGTTCCTTGTGTGAAGCTCCTTAAACTTGGAACCTCCACAGTGATGAGCGTCTTTTGTATGCTACTGGGATGACTAGTGGCTAGAGGCCTCTAGGTGGCTTTGGGGTGGGGGCAACAGAAAGATCTAAACCTGACTAGAGGGTGGAAACTTTCAGCCCCACTCCCTGACCTCCAGGCCACAGAGGGGTGAAAGGCCAGAGACTGAGTTAATTACCATCGGCCAAACATTTCACTAGTCATGCCTGAGTAAGGACACCTCTGTAACAACCCTAAATGAGGAGTTCCAAGAGTTTCCAGGTTAGCAAACACATCGAGGTGCCAGGAGGTCAGTGCACCTGGTGAGGGCACAGATGCTCCACACCCCTCCCCTACCCCTAACCCTCTGCATCTCACCATTTGGCTGTTCTTGCATTGAATCCTTCATAACAAACGGGATATATTAAGTAAAGCACTTTCCTAAGTTCTGTGAGTTTTTCTGTCAAGTTATTAAACCTGAAAGGGGGTCATGGGAATCCCTGATTTGGAGCCAGTCACTCAGAAGTATGAGTGGCTAGGACTTGTAACTGGTGTCTAAAGTGGTGGCAGTCTCATGGGACAGAGCTCTTAAATCTGCCATATCTAGGGCCGGGGATTTAGCTCAGTGGTTTCGTTCCTTGCTGTGCAAGCACAAGGACCCAAGTTCAATCCCCAGTACCCAAAAAAAAAAAAAAAATCTGCTGTATCTGGATACTAACACTAGGTAGTGTCAGAAATGGATTGAATAACAGGATACCTAGTTGGTGTTGGAGAATCAGAAAATTGGTTGGTGTCAGGAGGGACATAAACAAAACTCTCACCTGTGAGTATAAATGCAAAACCCTAAATCAAATATCAGCCAATAAAATCAAGCATCTATTTAGGCTTCATTCCAGGAAGGCAAATGTGATTTATTACTCTAAAATCAACCAACGTAATTCATCACATTTGTAGAAAAAAATCATAAAGTCATCTTAACAGAAAAAGAATGGCCAGGGCCATACAAGGTATCACCTGTTACATTACCTGTTACAAGGGCCTCTGATTTCAAGGGTTCCCTGGCTTTCATTTTGAATCCCATCTCTGGCTCTCCACGTCTTTTACTGGTGCTTCAATCTGGAAGACAAAACAGAAGGAGGTTGGCAAACAAGTATGTATCAGTCAGTGCTCACCAGATTTCATATAAGATATATAGACATATGGATTATACAGTAAGTCCCCGACTTACAAACAAGTTCTGTTCTGGGAGAATTGTTCATAAGTTGGACTTATTCATAAGCCGACAAAATGAGTCTTACACAGGACTTACTGTATATATATGATAGATATGTAGAGAGATATATACATATAGAGAGATAGACATATATATGTAGACATCTCTATATATATTATTTATAGATATAGATATAGATATATATTAGGGCTTACAATGCCCACTTGCAGAGTCAGGTGTGGAAGAGCACATAGTGCTTTGCACACTGGAGATCCAAAGGATCCAGTCAAAAGCCAAAGGTCTGGAGCTCAATGTAGAGACCTGTATAAAGAACCCAAAGGTGCTATGATGGAAGGCCGAAGAGTCTGTGCTGGAAGGCAGGAGATGGACGTCCAAGGCAAAGGCAGAGACTGGAGGCTCCTCCAAAGAAATAGAAGCAAGTCTCCCTTCTTCCTTCCCTTTTATATTTTATTCAGGCTACAAGCCAGTTGGCTGGTGCCACTCACACCCAGGGGCTGTCTTCAGTAAATCCATTCAGTCACACCCAGAACTATGGTACGCCAATCAGATGGGTATTTCTTACTCAAGCTGACACAACAGTTAACTATCACAAGGTACTATTTAACAACTATCATGTCAAGTGGTCTGGCAGGTACTAGGAGGAAAATATGAACCAAGGTTCTGGAAGATTAAGTAACTCATTGAAAGTCTCAGTGTTGATAAATAGTAGAACCAAGATGTGAGCCCAGGCAATCTAACTCTGGAATTCATACTATTAATCATTCTGTGTTGCTAACTGCATGTATAACCAATCCATCATACTAAGCATGAAGTGTCAAACGGACATAAGTTACACATGCTGTGAAGTACAAAGGAAAGGGATTCATGATGAGGGGTGGGTTGATTCTGGAAGGCTTTTAAGGAAGAGGTAGCATTTAAGCTGGGATTTAAAAGTAACAGATTTTAACTGGCAGAAAATGAGAGTGTATTAGTCAGGATAGATTGAGTCATGCTGCAGTAACAAAGGGTTAACATCAAAAGGTATATTTCTCTTTTGCAAACATTACTTTAAGGTGAGCAATGTTCAGGTTCCTCCCTCCAGCAATGACTCGGCAATTCAGGCTGCTACCATCTGCAGTTCCTCGTTTCATCACATGTTCATGATCACTGTGCAGGGGAAAGAGAAGAAACATGGAGAACTTGCACTTGCCCTTCAAGGCTTTGCCTGGAAAACATGCATACACACACACACACACACACACACACACACACACACACACTCACTCACTTCTGCTTGTGGCCCATTGGTTCTAATGAAGACAGCACACAGAGTCATTGGTGAGATTGTGTTGACTCTGCCACAGAGAAAAGGGGCATTCCAGACAGGAAATCATGTGCTGAGGCAGGCAGGGGCAAAGTACATGATGTGTATGGGAAAAACTACAGATCTAGGACACAACAGGCCTTCAGTGCCATTCCATAGGCAACTGGAAGCTCTCAGCAAGAGGGGAACATCAGTTTCCCTTATTTTACAAGATTATAGATGGCAGCAAAAAGGAGGGAGTGCCGGCCTTGACAAGATAGGTGGGAAGAGTACCACTCCAGCCAGAGGTGGTGCAGAGGTAAGGAAGAGCAAGCTCTAGAAGCAATGGAGATGTGGACTCTCCTGTACAGTTTTTTCCAAGTAAAAGTTAGGGTTGTTAAAAAATTTTTATTGGCACAAGTTTGTAATACATAATGATTCCATTCATTGTGGGGAGCTGGTACATTTACAGAACACATCTTAATTCTTTTCACTTCCCTTAACTCTCTTGGACTTGGAGATTGGATACAATTTGGGGAGGGCAAGAGAGCATGATCCCTAGGTTTCCTGTCTCACTGCCAAGGCAATAGCGATATTGTGACTACACAGGGCACAAGGAGGTCCTAAAAGCGGAAATGAGGACCTTAACTCACTCCATCCATGAGGCAGGTTCAGGTTCACTGATTTCCATCACAAAATAAAGAATTTTCAGGACATATTAGAAAAAGTATAAAGAGATTTATAGGCAGAAATTTTAAAGTGCACACTCAAAGAAATAGATTGAGAGCCTTCAAAAGGGAAAAAGGCACATTATGGCAGGAGCTAGGAATATTTATGTGTTTTGGGCAGTGGAAATCTGTGGAATTTGTTTTAGCACTACTTTTTTTTTTTTTTTTTTTGGTACTGGGGATTGAACTCAGGTCCTTGTGCTTGTGAGGCAGGTGATGGAACCACTGAGCTAAATCCCCAGCTGGAATTTGTGCATCTATAGAAATTTTGAGCTTAGTTTACAGGAAAAAGAAAAAATCAAAGGCCTACCGACAGATAGAAAGATAATGAATGAATCATTTTACAAGTGAAAGGATGGCCCATTTTATAGGAGGAAGGTACTGGCCTAGTCCGTTGTACTGTACTTTTTTTTTTTTTAAAGATGTGTGATCAGTTTTCCCTAAAAATGTTCTTTGAAACCCTTCTCTATCTCAGAGCCGGTTTTCTGACCTTTACCTTATCAACTAAGCTAATTTTCTGGACATATTATCTTTAAGGGATTTGGTGATGTGATAGGCCTGGAACAACAACAACAACAAAAATACAAAGAAGGTGAAGGAGTGCAGATAATAGCAAACTTTGGATAACTCTGTGTCATGAAGTTGTAGTCTTCTTAAAAGTACAATTTTTAGATTATTATTTTCTTTGTCTCCTTGTTACCTATCTTTATTTCTTCTATCCTACCTCAGTATCAGTAGCCAAAACAGGAAATGCAAAAAATCAGCCTGTTCTGAAAGAGAAACACTTCAGTTATGTCCTGCTGCCAAACTCTACACAGAAACATCTAGAGCATTTCACTGAAAATACAGCCCTAAGCTCACTGAGTGAATAAGAGTTTCCCAGAATGAGGACACCACATAAGCAAAGAGATGGAGACAAGAGCACACTCAGAAACTACAGCAAGAACAAATTCTGCCCATGAACTCAGTCCCTCGCTCCTCCACTCCCAGCCACTTCCTGCTGCCTGCTTGACAGCCACACCAGGGGGCTGGCCCAGCACAGCCAGCTCTCTGGTACCTGTCGACCAAATCCAGAGCCACCAAACTAGATTGAATCTTACATTAGTATAGATCATAACTCTATGTTACATTGTTTCAGCAGTCAGTTCGAGTCCTTTTAACATGGCTGCATATTCCTGTGGTCTGAATGAGACTACTGGTTTCCCCAACCTCCAAGCGGCTGAGAAAAAGAAAAGTATCAGTGATGTGACTGTAGGCCAGTCATTCGACCTCTTTCACATGTTCACGACGGGGCTGTAATTTCTGTCTCGCTGCCAGGTGACTCAGAACCACTGGTGGTCCATGCATAACTGTCCCATAGGGTACCCCGCTGGTACAAGCTGCCCAAAGGAACAGTGATGCAAAGTTCAAGCCAGTGGGAATATGTTAAACTTTAGTATTTTCATTCACTGGGGGAAAAAATGTAACACCTGCCCCATATATTTAAAAGGGTGGTTATGAAGATCGAGTGAAAATAATGACTGTAAAACAGTTATATAATCTCTAAGGCAATACAGGAAGGGTGACAAATTGGGGTGAAAGTGGTACTGATAGAGGTTATTCTTGTCACAATATGTCCTTTAGGGACCAGTCAGGGAAGCTGCATAAGAAAAACTCAGCTATACAACCTTATGGGAAGAGATTTAACAGAATGCTTCTCATGGCTCCATTGCCATGACTGCTACAAATAACAACATAATTTCTGTCCTCTGGGAGCTGGGATGGCAAAAGATGTAGACAGAGATGAGTAACAGGCAGGCCAGGATAAAGTGTGTTCCACAAGAGTCATGCAGATCCAAATTGCACAGGAACCCAAAAGGAGCCTCAATCATCGGATGGTTCAGGACTGCTTCCTGCAGAAAGTAGAGTTTGAAGGGAACTTGTGATGTGGCCAAGTAGAGTGGGAAAGAGGTATAGGCTGATCTGGCTGCATCAGAGAGAAAGAACGACCCAGGAGAGATCAGAATAGAAAAATTCTACCTGCAACCTCCCTCTCTCTCTCCCTCCCTCCACCTGGCTCCTAGTGCTGGAAGGCTCCCCACCTTCCAAAGGAGGGAAGGAGCACGGGGCATTGTCCTAAGTCAACAATAAGATCTGGGACTTATTATTTCAATCTTTGTTGCTAAACCAGTATTTGCAGCTGACCATAATCTCAGAAACAGGCCAAGATCAGGTGCACAGGGAAGGCTGTGAGGACAGTCTTATTGCTCAGGAGTCTGGGAAAAATGCTAGCCACTCAGACAGCATGCATGACCCAGCAGGAGTGCCTGTCCAAGACTGACTGCATTCTTCATCTGTGCAGACACTTTCTCGGCTCAGAGAATTGTTTTGGAGCTGAATCTATTGATTGTGGCTCCATTTGGAACTGTGGACCTCAGCCTCCTGCAAAGTCAGGGCCTGGCAGTGTCTTACACCACTGGGTCAGCTGTAGAGGTAGCAGCAGGGAGGGAAGCAAAGGGACAGCCCCAGGAGGGAGTAGGAGACAGGTCTGGGACAGGTGTGGGGGGAGATACCAGCTGTGGGATCATTCAAATCATTCCTTCCAGCAGAAGCAACACACACACACACACACACACACACACACACAGCCTATTGTTTTAGTTTTTAATGGCTGGCTTATAGTTTCTTCATCTTTTCTCTCATAACTTTTTTCAGTTTATAAACAACTTTTCATCGGAAATACTGTACTTTCCTGGGTAAAGCAACCATCTTTTTAGAGAGACAGAGGGAGCCCAACAGCAGATGGAGGAATCGGGTCTGCTTATGTAAACACTGATGAAAATATCAGCAGCTTCATTGTGGCTTTTTTTTTTTTAATCTATGAAGAATTTGAAACTAACCTTCAATGAGGAATAATAAGAGGTGTTATTAAAGGCACAATAAAGAAGGGAAGATTTCTTCCAGCAGGAAAACCTTCCTTTGCAAAAGGATCATTTGCTGGGAAGAGGGGGATGTGTGTGCCACGTACATTTTTAGGGGTCTTCCCACTGGAGTACAGAATACTTTTCCTCTGACCTCTCCTGTGTAAATTCACATAAGGAGTTCTCTTTTGAAATTATAATAAATCAAAAGTGCAAAAACTGATAACTCCTGGGGGCTGGAATGGTCTTTCTTAAAGGGGTGATCTTGGCCATCTCCTTGGCTCAGGCAGGACAGGGGAAAATCCACCTTGGTTTTAAAGACCCTCAGAAAGAATGCTGCCACAGCCTTTCTCCAGACTCCCTGTCTGTGGCCTGTGTGTGTCCCTTCAGAGCTGTCCTTTCATCAGGTACATGACGCTCCCTGGCTCTTTTCCATGGAGTCACCTCCCTACCCCACCTGGCCTCTGTTGACCACACCACAGCTTCCAGGTTCTCCCAGAATCCTTATTCTCCACAACTAGTCCCTGAGGCCACAAACAAATGCACAAGAAAGAGGTCAATGGACCTATCTGGCCCCACCCCAGACAAGCCTTTCCCCTCCCAGATTCCAGCTGACTGAGCCCTGTTTAAAGAACCCAGCCAGTCACTCCAATTCTCAGAAAGCCAAGGTTCCAGGACCCTATCCACTGGCTCTCAGTTTCTGGCTCAGTAAGTGGCTGACCTTGAGGACTGGAATTTCCCTATAAACCAGAGAGAGCTCCCTGAGGGAAAAATTATAATCATCTTGGCTGTGCAAAGCTGTGAAGAGCAATCCTAAACCACTGAGCTCTCTTTTCTCATAAGCAACTCACATCCCAACCCACAGTGCTGCTATTCACAGTTTAAATGCCCAAGTCCCACATGGCCTATTAGTGAGGCTGAGCCCTAGATACCACCCCTGTGTCTGTTGTATTCTCAATGACCAGTTGGAGCTGTGTGTGGGGGTACACACCTGCAATCCCAGCACTTAGGAGGCTACAACAGGGAGGTTACAAGTTTGAGGCCAGCCTGAGCTGCAGAGTGAGACCCTGTCTCAAAAAAACCAAACCAAACAAAAACTGACCAGTTTGATATGTGTCTCAAGGCTTTCAAAACCTCTCTTGAAAAGAGAATTGCCTGCTGGACATTGTCACTGGCTCCAGTCAACAACTGACACATAACAGATCCACAGGTAAGTTCATGTCCTTCCTCCTCCTTTATCTTTAAGCCCCTTCCTGGCTCCCATCTGTCTCCACATCCTTCAGCTAAGCCTGTTCTGTGCCTTTCACAGCAGTTGCTCTGCCCTCCAGGTGTCTGCTGTGTCACCGGTAAGGTGCCATCAAGTTGTAATGTGTGGCCATTTCCCATTATTAGACTATAAGTTGCCTGAGGACAGGGACTGTGTCTCAAAATCTTTTTTGATCCAGCATCTACAAACATCTGACACACAGTAAGTGCTCAATAAGTGTTCATTAAATGGAGAAATCTATAAATGATACATGCAACTCTAAATTTTCCCCAAGACTCAGTAAGGTCCCTCCCCCAAGTCCAGCTATTTCCTTGAGACAAGGAAGAAAGCATCTTAAAGGGTTGGAGAGCTGTTTCCACCTCACCTTGGATGGCCTGAGCTAGTAGAACATAGCGATGATGGGCTGGAGTGGGGCCAGAGCTCTGTGGGGCTGGAGTTACAGCAGGCTCCTAACCGTGATGTCAGCGCCAGCGCCACTTCGTGTCATCAGCCGGTTCTCACAGGCAAAGCCCTAGGTACCTGCACGCTTCACCTCTTTGCACCACATCTGTTTTTTAATTAAACATAATTATTTTACTCGTATATGCTCGCAGCACATAACGATTACATTTATCATGGTCAGTTTGTACATAACACAGCTGAATACTCTTTTCACCCCTTACCTCTCCCTTCCCTTGCTGCTCTTTCTAACTGTGTTCCCCTTCCATTTCCAAAAGCTCTGTTTGTATTTTTTCTTCAGTTCTCTTTTTTATCCCTTTTCCTCCATCTTGTTTCCCTTTCCAGTTGAAAAAAACTCTCCCTACCATCTATTTTTTATTTTGCTCTTGATTTATATTTTGAGTTTCTCATATAAGAGAAGCCATGTAATATTTAAACTTGTGTGCCTTATTTTACTTAACATTGTGGTGTTGAGGTGCATCCATTTTCCTACAAATGAATCAAGTTTATAATTCTTTATGACAAAATGTACTCCACTGTACATAAGGACCACATTTTCTTTATTCATTCATCTGTTGATGGACATATAGGCTGTTTCCAAGATTTAGCTATTATAAATTGTGCTGCTATAAATATGGTCATGAATGTATTACTGTACTATGATGACTTTAAGTCTTTTGGGAAGATTCCTACAAGTGGAATAGCTGTGTCAAATGGAATCTCTATTTTCATGTTTTGAGGAATCTTCATACTGGTTTCCACAGTGATTTACATTCTCACCAACAGTGTAAAAGGAATCCCTTTCCCCTTTAACCTCACCAGCATTTATTGTTTGATTTCTTGATGATAGCCACTCTTTCTGGAGTAAGATGGAATCTCAGGGTTGTTTTAATTTGCATTTCTCTAATGGCCAGCAAGATTGAACATTTTTTCATGTGCTTATTGGCCATCTGTACTTCTGAGAAGGGTCTACTCATTTCAGTGGCCCATTTTAAAAAATTCTACCATATCTTAAAGGAATCCAGGCATCCCAGGCAGCTACCTTGTCTGGTGGGAATGTCTCCCCCAGGCTGCATCGAGCATGGGATGGGAGTGCAGGGGGAAGTGCTCTCACTGGCCCCTAAAGGAGCTGCCTTTCCTAGGTGGCTCAGTGGTGGGGAGCCTAGGAGAACCCCAAGTGAACACTCTCAGCTCCAGAGAAGACATTCCACCCACTCCTCTTGATCATGTTGGAGCAGTCTTTGGAACCTGAACCTCACCACGCCACTCACCTGCTCCAAATCCCACTGTGGCTTCTTTCAGGAAAACTTGAACCATCTTTAGCAGGCACAGGAAGCCTTTATGATCTGTCCCTTCCTGGGAATCCAGCCTCACACTCCCCTTGTACAATAAGTTCAGCAATAGCGAACAATTTGCCCTCAGATTACCCAACTCTCACCTCTCTGTGATTGGCACACACTGCTTCTGCTGCCTGGGCCCTGCTCCCTCTGCCCAGTAGGTACCTCACATCCCTCCAGCTTCAAGGCTCTCTCCTCACAGACTTGGAAGCTCCTCTCCTGTAAAATGAAGATAATAACCAAAGTTAGAGCATTGGTGGGGAAAAAGATTCCAAGAAGCAATTGTAGGTGGTTAGGGACACAGGAAAGGGACGGTAAGAAGGGAAATACAAGGTACATTCATGAGCAGGTTACCCCTGGAGTTGTAGCCTACTGGAAGTCCCTGGGAGGAACAGTAGAGAACACCCTCAAAGACTACCTGGTAGGGAATGACCCTCATGTATGTACAGCTGCCTTTCAAGATCACCTGCTGGTCCTGGGGGCATCCCCTCCCTGGCATTCTGGTCACATGTGTGCCAGTTATGTTCCTAGGACCAGAAAAAATGCCCCTGGGCAGAGAGGCTCAGGTGCTGTTCTTAGGTCGGATGCCAAGACATCTACACTGTCAACCTCCAGCCCTACCACTAGCTGGCTGAGAGAGCTTGACTCATTTAGAAAGTGTAGCACTTGAATGGAAGCACCCTCAGGTTCCTTGCGGTGAGCTGGTCCTCAGTCTGCCCACATCCTCCGAGACTGGACACCATGAAGCGGCCCTTGGGTGGGCCACTCAGCCTCAGGGGTGGTTGAAGAGAGAGCTATCCCTGTTTTTCCAGTCACTGTGTCCCTGGTGTCCAGAACTGAGCTCAGAGCAAGCTACCCTCTAGCACACATTGGTGACTAAGAGGAGATGGTGCAGAATGAAGTTTGCACCAAGAAACCCTGACATTTAGGCTCAAACTCAACCAAGGGACTCGAGCAATGGAAGATGGTGACCACGCCTGAAGGGCAGGTATGTGCTTCCAGTCTACTTGTGCAAGCTATATTTTTCACTTTCAAATATAGCATGTCAGATCCAGAAATGGCAACCTATAGCAGCTTGAAATTAACTTGTGGGTGTCTTGTGAAACTGAGAGCTGCAGGCCCAGCTGAGCTGTCCTTTGTCACCTCTGCTCCAGGCGGCCGGCGCTGCCACTCCCACGTTCTGCCCAAGCGGTGCGGATTCCTCAGGCTGAAGAGGCAGCCTGAAAACTAAATAGGTATGACGTTTCATCACAACACACACTAGTCAATGCGATCCACCAGCGGACAGAGCAGAGGGACGCCTCTCCTCCTGCCCAGCGTCTCCTCAGACACGCCCCAGAGTTGGTCCCCGCCCACCTGCCACTGGCCAGGTGAGGGCCCATTCATTACCTTTCGCAGAAATGCCATCCTCGGCCTGTACTGCTGGCCTTGGTGTCGGATCGTCATCCCGGACCCTGGGTGAATTCACGATCGGAACACCAATGCGAGAGGAGAGGAAAAGCCCCCTGCTGCAGCAGGCAGTCTGGCCGGCCCCGCCTGGGCGTCGCCGGGGAGGCGCAGAGCAGAGCGAGGAGGGCGCAGGACCCGGGCTGCCGCCGGCCGCCCCTCTACTCTGGCTCGCACTCGGCGACTTGCGAAGCGGCTGGAATCCGCGCCAGCCAATCAGCGAGCGGCGCTGGGGGCTCATTAGCATGCGCCGCGCGCCCAACTGCCACCAGGGGGCGGTGTCCGCCTCCACCTGGACCCGGAGGAGCCTCAGGTGAGACCCGAAGGTCCCCGGACAAAGAGGTGATTTGGACCGCACCTCTAAAGCCTGGGAAAGAGTGAAGACAGTGCGTGACAGGCTTTTGATCCCCGCCTCGCCTGCCCCCAAGTCACTGAATGGCCGAAAGCACCCCGAAAAGAGTGTGGGTGGGAAATGACTCCTGTCCAGCTGGGACTGCTAGGGCTGAATGAATAACGAAGGTGACAACTGGCGGTTTAATATGCTTGGCGGTGAAGGTGGAGAATGCTGCGGGATCTGAACCCCAGATTTGCTACTTAGCCAGGTATGGAACCTCTCTAGGCTTCCTCTTTCTCCTCTAGTCAGTGAGATTAACTTCATCTTCTTCGTGAAGTTTTGTTTGATTCTGGCTTTGGTTTTATGATTACTGAGCAAGCACGTAAACTATGACTAACAAGTGGTGAATATCCAGTAAGCCATAGTTCATCTTTGGTCTCTTGGGACTCTTCCTATCCACCCCCCCAACCCCACCCCGACCCCTGTGCTGGGAATTGGACCCAGAATTCCTTGAATGCTAAGCACACGCTGTACTAATGAGCTACATCCCAGCCCCTCTCAGGAATCTTTTTTTTTTTTTAATTACTATGCCAAAGGGATAGGGTTGTAGACCAGTGGTAGAGAGCTTGCTTGTCATGTGTGAGGTCCTGGGTTTCATTCCTAGCACCACAATATATAAATAAATATATAAATAAATAATACAATTACCATGCCTAGTGATCCCATTATCTACGCATCTATTAATGTGTCCATTCCCAGATAAATATGAGAACTGTTGGAGTAGCAAATGGGAGTAAGAATATAGGCCCTGAAATCGAATTACTTGGGGTCAGATCTCAACTCTGCTACTTAATGTGTGACTTTGGCAAATTACTTAACCCTTCTGTGTTTTAGTTCCTGTAAAATGGAGATGGTGCAAAGATAGTGCCTATCTGGTAAAGCTGTTGAGAAGAGATAAAGGAGTAAGGATTTAATAAATCCCATTATTACTGTTATTAATATTAGAATCATTAAAGGTAATATAATGGAAAGAGCACAAAATTTGAAACACTAGCTAAGTCTCTGAGAGGATGCACTCTCCCAGGTCTAACACTCACGATCGTCGGATTTAAGAACATGTTCGCTTTTCCTTCCCAGAGCGGAGTGCCCTAAATGCTGATGTTGGAGAGCCCAAGCAGGGCTGGTCCTGGGAGGTAGATGCTTCTCGGGACATCTGGGTCCCATTCCACTGGAGGAGTCAAGTTCCTGCCATGCTGCCCAGTCCTCTTTGCTCCGAGTTACAGAGCAGGCATAACAGTTTCAGAAAGCAAACTCTAAAGTCTAGTTGACGCATAGGGAAATGACTTGGCAGGCAGCCACAAGACAGAGCTTCCAGCCCTGCCACTGCCATGCTGTCTGACAGCTGAGAAACTCCTGTTTCATCCAGCTCTGCAAATTTATTTGATTTCGAAGTTCACATTTATTGAAGGAGGTAAGCAAAGGCATTTCTTTTTTTTTTTTTTGAGCCATTTCAAAATTATTTTAAATTTGTGATCTGTGATTGCATCCTCCATTCTCTTATTTTTCTTGACTTGGTTAGATTATGATTTATCTATTATAATGAGATCTTCTGGGTACTGTCATTTACTTGAAGATCAAAATTTTTAAGTTAAAACTTTAAAATGACCTTCTCATTGGGGACAATATTTATGCTGTTTAAATTATTTAACAAGCTGGGCCTGGTGGCACAGATTGCAATCCCAACTACACAGGAGGCTGAGGCAGGAAGATCATGAATTTGAGGCCAGCCTGGCAATTTAATGAGACCCCATCTTAAAAAAAAGAAAAAAAATAGTTTAACACATGTGAGAAATCTGTGTAAACTAGAAAAACTTCAGTTACATGGGATGCGTCAGGCTGTATCTACTGTCCTAAAGTAGTTAATTGTGCCCTCTTGTACACCCGAAAGTGACTCTTGTACAGTCATCCTAATCATGTTAATTTGTTCTTCTTACTAATGACCTAATGGAGTCTCTTTGTTTCCTAAGTGAAGATGCAGCCTGGAGTAGCGGAAAGCAAATATGAATAGGACTCAAGTCATCTTGATTCAATTCCTAAATCTATTACTGACAATTAGGGGACTTTAGGAAAGACATCACTTCTGAACTCCTCAGTCACTTATCAGAAATGCATCATGTGTCCCAAAGTTTGCTGTACTATGAGTGCTTCTCAAACTTTTTTTTTTTTTTTTTGGTACCGAGGATCAAACTCGAGTCCTTGCGCTTGCACAGCAGGCAGTGAAACCACTGAACTAAATCCCCGGCCCCAGTGTTTCTCAAACTTTGATGCCCATATTAGTCTTGGGGGGGGGGTTGAATTGCAGATTCTGATTCAGTGGCGTGAGGCTGGAATTCTGCACTTGGAACAGGCTGCCAGGCAATGCCCATGCTGATGTGATTCTGAGTAGAAAGTCCAAAAGTCAAATACACTCAGAAGTCTGTGTGTCTGGTACACTTATAAGGAAGTGTTTTCTATCCATATCCCCAAGGCCTCTTGCATACTTCCAAAGAGAATGACTTGTGCAACTGGAGAAGTTTTCAGTAAACTGGTGCAACAAAGCAGGAGGCAGCTAGTTTCCCCATGCTGATGCTCAGTCCCTCCCCACACAAATAGATGATATGGCTTGCCATACTTAAACTCCATTGCAAGAAAACCCCCACACACAACTCTCTGTCCATCCCCACCCTACCCCTTGGCTCATGTTTTGGGCTATGTGATCTGACCCATACACTATCACCCTGTAACATGGCCAGATGTCAAAGGACGAACTGGACCGACCACATTATTACTCTTAGAAATAGCCAATAACTTGAGTAAATAGAGGTAGGCAAATTTGAAAAGATGCCAAGTGGAACCAGGCCCATTGTGAGACAAAGCCACATGAAAGCTCAAGTTATAAGGGAGACAAACTGCATGCAGCAAAAGGTCATCAAGGATGGAACAGAGGTGCAGAGTACTGCAGAGATGGCCTGAGAGCATCTCAGAATGGAAGTGATAGTCACTGGAAGCTACTGTTGAGTCACAAAGAGCAAATTCTATCATCCTTAGTTAGTTTCTCATGATAGTGATGGACTACAGATTAGGGCGATGCTGGTAGAATAGAACAGTTGTATTTTAGGAAGCCATTTATAAATCACCACTCACCAGGAAGCCCATCACCAATTTGCAGCCAATTTGTAGCAACAGTATGACTTTATTGCCATCAAATCTTCTTTCTGTCCTACTTCATCCTATGCTCACTCTGGTCTTGACTTCATATTTAATTTGTTTTCATAGCCCTGATTTTCAGTGCATAATTTACCATTTTATTTTCTGCATCTCTTATAGACCTCATTGGCTCAAATGTGAAAAGAGGCATGGTCTGAATAAATAGATCAGATGGGAAGTAAGTTAAATGGACTCCGAATCATCATAATCCTAATTCCTCCTACTAATCATTATTACAGGCACGGAGATAGGTTTGTAGTTGCATGTTCCAGGATTCATCCAAAGCAGCATCTCGTAAAAATCATCATGATTTAGATGATAACATTGATTCACAATGTTTACATCATCGAAGATATAAAAGAATGACTAATAGATGAGAAAATAGCATTTGCATCCAGAACTTCTTGCTGGTCTAAGCTGAAACCAGTGTGCTTCCAAGAACTTCCCATAATGCTCCTGATAAATCAGCATCCCTTCAGCTGAACTTCAGTGTCAGGATTTCCATCTTTTATCAAAAGTCATTATAATAACTAGTCTTGTGGATTCCTTTTTGAAAATAAATCTGATTTGCTCCAAAAAGGTAGTCAAAGTATTGTACATTCTATCTCTCTACCATAAGAGAGATTGCTTTCAAGGTTTAGTACAAAGAAAAACTCAGATGGGCCAAGGATTTAGCCCAGTGGCACTGTACCTGCCTCACAAGTGCAAGGTCCTGAGTTCAATCCTTGGTACCAAAAAGAATAGAAAAGGAAAACTCAGTGGCCCCTTAAAAAAAAATGTTTCCTTTTTTCTGATCATAGGAGATGTGTATCGTGTTTCCTTTTCCATCTGGACCATCACGTCTGGCATTGGGCTCCCTTGAAGCAACTAGAATAAATATTTGGTGTCTAATATTTCTTCACTGTTCTATTTGATTCATATATCATTGTTTTTATTGCCTGGGATTTTCTCTTTTGGTAAACCACAAAAACTTCTTTAAAAAGATAACTTGGAGGGCCGGGGATTTAGCTCAGTGGTTCCCGCGCCTGCCTCGCAAGCGCAAGGTCCCGAGTTCAATCCCTGGTACCAAAAAAAAAGAAAAAAAGATAACTTGGAGGCAGGCATGGTGGCACAACCCCAGCACTTAGGAAGATGAGGCAAGAGGATCTCAAGTTTGAAGCTAGCCTGGGCTGCATAGTGAAACCCTGTTTCAAAAGCCTATACATTAAAATTTTTAAATTTTTGTAAAACTTGGGATATAAATAAACATCCTATTTGTATTATGAGTGGGAGTGGCTTGAAGAATTGGACAAGGTAAGGGAAGAAAGGGAAAAAAGTAAGAAACCTCTCAGTCTTCAAGGTAAGTAATCATATTTACCAACTTATTTTTTGAACCAGCATTGTTTTATTTTGGTCCAAGATATCTGCTAGGGAGAGAACATCTTCTTGAAATGCAATTGAGTTCAACAGATTTCATCCATCATGCTATACTTATCAGACAACCGCTTAGAGGATCTTCAGTCTGAATTGATTGGCTTTTCCTGATGGTAAACTCTCCCGACAGTAAACAGAAATCTTGTTCCTGCAAACAGGGAGTCCTGCTTGCTTTCCTGCATCTCCATGGTTTCCAGGAAAAGTGGACTTGTGAATGAGTGAGTGAGGAAGGGAAGGAGCTGGCAGGAGAATGTATGAGCGGTGGTACTTCCAGAGCTCCGTGAAGAGTGGCTGGATCTAAGTTAGACCATCCTACATTGTTTCCCCCTCATCATTTCCGTCCTAAGGAGTGGAGTTCCTACACTGAGTGTGGGGCAGAGATGTCCCAAAATACGTGCTGGAAGGCAAATATGGAAACACTGCCCTGACTTCTGATCTTTTCTCCATGAGATGCCACAATGTGCCTATCTTCAGCCATAGTCTGAAGGATTCTGCTCAGTAATATTGACACGTTTCTTTCCCCTGCTACAAATATGCATACTCCACTGAAAATTTTTTTTAAAATAGAGAAAAGCAAAAAAAATAAAATAAAATAAAATAAAAATTAAAAAATAAAATAAAATAGAGAAAAGCAAAAAAAATAAAATAAAATAAAATAAAAATTAAAAAATAAAATAAAATAGAGAAAAGCAAACTTTAGAAAATGTAATAGTAACTAATCTGGGAAGGAAATTAAAAGATTTGAGATTGAACATGTAATGAAAAAAGACAGGGCTGGGAATTTAGCTCAGTGGTTCCACCGCCTGACTCACAAGTGCAAGGTCCTGAGTTTGATCCCCAGTAAAAAAAAAAAAAAAGAAGAGAGAGAGAAAGAAAAAGAAAAGAGATATACTCAGAGTCAGAGACTTGAACTATGGTTCAATTGTACTATAAGAAGCTAGGGTGTCCTTGAGAAAGTCATTTATCCTTGATGACTTTCTTCCCTAGTCAAAGGAATGATTAGGCCAGGCCCCTTGCTCTGCTAGCATTCTGGGACCACAGAATGGCTAAACAAGAGACATGGTATCCGGGCTGCCTCAGTTTACATTCCCAGAATTGCTGGTTTTGAGCTGTTGGACCCTGGGTAAATTTCACAGCCTCTTCATGTTTCAGTGTCCCCATCTATACATGAATAATGATAATAATGCTTACATATTGCTGATTCCATAAATTTTGGCTACTGTTATTATCTTAAACATGCCCAGCTTGCCTTTCCAGCTGTACAAGGTGTGATTGAAAAAAACACAGTGAATGTTAAGCCAAATTCCTATTAATCTTTCCAACATACTCCCCCTCACCTTAAACACTGTTCTCCCATTGTTCTTGCCACTTCCTGAAGCAGTTCTGGAAGTCCTCTTTTGTGTTTTCAGTTGCACTGCCTTGGATGCCTCAATAATCTAAATTGATGCAAAATGCTCATCTTTCATGGTCATTTTGACTTTGAGAAGTTACACAGCAGCAGACCTGGTGAATAAGGTGAAGGAGGACCTGCCATAATGTTTCAGGAGCTTGCCTCTGCAGCTGCATTCATCAATTTTTTTTTTTTGGTACCGGGGATTGAACTCGGTCGGGTACTTGCGCTTTCAAGGCAGGCGGTGGAACCACTGAGCTAAATCCCCAGCCTGTGTTCATCATATTCTTTATCACACCTAGTAAAGACACAAATGAGGACCTCCAGAACTGCTTCAGGAAGTAGTAAGAATGATGGGACAAGTGTGTTCAAAGGAAGAGGGAATTTGAGGGGGATTAATGGCAATGTGTCTTTTACTATTA